GTTAAATTATATATCTATTTTAAACATACCTATTTTAAAGCCAATTGAAGATTGTCAACGTGCAGAAAAAGGAATGTTTAAAATAGATATATAATTTAACAAAAATAAAATATGTACTTTGCAATAGAATTAAACAAGTGTTACACAAGTAGAGAGAAACAGGAGTGTATGATCCCAGGATGTCATGATTTTATTCTAAGATCTGACCCACATGCAGAAAAAAACAAACAGAGAGACCATGGGAATGTTTAACAGGTTTATTGTGAACTGGTATAGAAGGGTCCAGTGCTGCTCTGAACACGGGCGAACCAGGACTGAAAAGTGAAGGGGAAGTTCCTGTGGTTAGTTCAGGCTCAGTGGGAAATTTGAGCTTCAATTTGCAAAGGGAATAAAGACAACAGGACTCATGTTTCCAGAAAAGGTGTCTTTCTCTGAATCCAGTCGGTGCGGGTTGTTCTAGTAATTGACTTGCTCGTTGGAGGGCGGACGGGGTTTACCAAGGTTGAAGTGTTTCTTTGAGGAATGGAGGAGCTGACTGCCACTTAGTTTTCCTGCGGTACTTGAATGGTTTCTTGTGGAGATGAATCCCCTGCTCAGTGAGAAGCTCAAACAATCCTTTGGGGAAAAGTAGATCCAAACCTCCAGTTTGAATCCCCAGCTCAGTGTGAAGCTCAGACGATCCTTCCAGGGGGAGAAGGTCCAAAACATCCAGTTAGCAGGATGACTTCCTGCCGAGAGGCAAAGACAAAAACAACAAGATTAGGCTCAGGTTGACAAAAACTCAGTTTGACCCAGCAAAACTTAGCTTGGCTCCGAGGTAGTGGCAGTCAGCAGCTTAAGAGTCCTCCGGTAATGAGGCAACCATCCGCAGGTGTGTGAGAGGGCCAACAAGAACCAAGCGCCACCTGGTGGTGGAGGGAGAAAACACAAAAACACAACCCACACAAACTGGATTCCTAACGCAGGATTTTTGTGTAAGAAAATGTAAAATTATTATTTTATAAAAGTTCCAGCTTGAAACCAACGTTGTTTATAAAGTCTTTTTTTTCCTGCACATAATGATCCAATCACAGCAATATTAAGCCTACAGTAGCTCTTTTTCTGTAAAAATGCTGAAGCCGTGGCTCTGCGCCATCGACTCTCTGCTGTGTTCATGCTGAAGTTGCACATATCTGTTTCGTACGACACGTGCACGTACATGTGCACATTGCTGACACGTGTGGTTACACCAGGAAACTCCCATCTACTGGATCGCCCACATTATGACTTTTAATAGAAACAAACCTTCAGATTAATAGCTTTATTTCCAGCATTGAACATTAAAAAATAACTACGTTTTCTGCTTTTTAAATAAGATTTTTTTTTAGATTTTGGTTTTAGAGATTTTATCCTGTTGTATTGTCTCTTGATCTTTAGAAAGTGAGCAGCTCGTGTTATTATCTCTGTTTTTGCCTGTTTTTCTGCAGATGTCGGCTGCCCTCCAGGCAAGCTGTACAGGGAGTGTGAGCGTGGAGAGGGCTGTCCCTTCAGCTGCGCTCAGCTCAGCGGCAGAGAGGGCTGCTACTCTGACAGCTGTGAGGAGGGCTGCCACTGCCCCCCGCACACCTACCAACACCGTGGAAGGTGCACACCGGTGGGTCCTGAGCCACTTTAGGTGGTGCAGTTTTAAAGACAGATAAAAACTAAAGTAAGGTTACAGAAATGACCCATCTCTGTGTTTCAGGAGTGTCCATGTCTGGTGGATAAAGAGTTCCTGGCCTCCCTGCGGACCGTGTCCATCACACCTGAACCGTTTCTGCTCTCCAATATCTCAGAAGGGATGGAGCTCATGTCTGGAGAAACTTTAACTCATGACTGCAGCACCTGGTAGGCTAAGACTTTGGGAATAACTGCAGATTTACATTAAATCGACCCTAAAAGTATGTAACAACATTCCAACTTATCCTGGGATCATTGTTTTTTTTTTTCTAATAGTGAGTGTGAGCATGGCAGGTGGAACTGCTCCCTGGAGTTCTGCCCAGTGGATGGTGGTTTGTCACCATGGGGCCCCTGGAGCCACTGCTCACTCTCCTGTGGAGGTTTGGGAGTGAAGAGTCGATTCAGGAGCTGCACACAGCCTGCCCCAGCCCATGGTGGGAGACACTGTCAGGGTCCCCGCCAGGAGACCACCTACTGCCAGGCCCCTGACTGTCCAGGTGGGGGTTATACTGAGAGATAAGAGCTCCTGGATGCAGATGGAATTAATCCCAGATGGTTAAAATGAACATTAATTTTTCTTTTTTTTCAGCTACTATTGTTCCAACAGTAGAACCAGCTATTCCAGGTAGAATATTCATTATTTTTTACTTACTTTAAATCTGATTCAGCAACAGCTTTCCCTGAAGTATGTTGTCTTTAATGATCTGATGCTGATGATATTTTTGACTGACCCATTAAAGCTCAGCATCACCTGCTGATTTAAGTCATTTCATCTTCTTTTCCACTCTGTTTTCATTTAGAGGATGATTCAGGCTTCTCTCCGTGGTCCCTGTGGAGTTCCTGCACCAAAACATGCACCGATGTCCAAAGCCCTGCTACAAAGTCTCGTCATCGACAGTGTGCCAAACCTCCCTGCTCTGGGATCTCTCACCAGGAGAAAGCCTGCAACCTGCCCCAGTGTCCAGGTTTGATGCTATGCTTCCCTAGCCTCGTGAGACCATCCTGATCTCGCGAG